GTTTTTTTACAATCAAAATACGGGAATTACCACAACCGTATTTTAATTTGTTATTTAGAGTTCTCAAATATAAACATAGAATGGTACTTGGATGTTGGCAAAGTAGTAACACATACAAGGACATGATCTTAAAATCTCAACAGTGAGAAAAAAACCTTATAGATGTCGACAGAAAACAATAAAACATGTGAATACCAAAACAACATACATAACATAAACCAAACCTCATTATCCTCCGGTGTCCACTGGCTGGGACTCGTGACGTAGTCCAGATCCGTTGTTGATTCGAACTCGGAACCTGTACTGCCGTAGAGACACCTCAGGTCACGGAGATTGTAAGTGAAAGCCTCACAAGATGCCGTTGCAATGCAACTTTTTTGACACGACGCAAGTGTGTTTTGGATCTGTGTACGAAACACTGAGGTAATCGACAGCTTAATACCCTTCCTGTGTTCTCCAATGCGAAAATTCAGTGCTGAAGTTGACTGCATGAATTGTAAGTAAACGCATAATGCGATTCCAATCGCTGACATTTTTACCATGTTTTTTTTATAAAAATAAAATATACAACATTTGATATAACGCTCTACCTAGCTAACATAAGCCAATCTAAAGCGCTTTAAATTAAACTTTAGTAGGTATATACACGACAGTCTGCCTGATTGGCGAGTGCCACACTGGTGTACTGGAAAGTGCCGAGCAGTACCTATGACGATTATGCAATATAACACCAACCATAATGTTAATTTATGCTATGTGTCAATACACACATCGTTGAATGCGCCAATGCCATATGCGCTGCTATTCTTCCTTCATGGAGCAAATAACTGACAGCAGACAATCCTTAACTGATTCTATCAGGCAGAGCAAAGTAACACATTTCTCTATCCAATATACATTTGAACTATTTTAATAGTGTGACCTAAATTTTACTAACCAAATAATAATTAAACAAACAGTATGGGCGTATGGTGACTGAATTAAATCTAGTTTTAAAAACAAAACAAAAATGTTTATTTATTTTTTTACATTCGAGAACTCTTATTGTCGCGAACGTTTGAAAAGCTTGACTACTACCAAGATTTCGACCAATTTGTCCGTATCCTACTCAAGTAGCTGAAAGAACCCGCCTATTTTTACAGGATGCATGTTCGTACACACACTACGTGTGTAAGCGTAAATAGCAGGCCTTTCTCATTTGTTTAATGTGACCGGGCGGAATGCTGGGTGACTTCGGCATGGTATTTCAGTGAGATAGCACTTTAAAGTCGGCATACAATCCTTGCTATCACAAGGAGGCAAATACAACATCAAAACCTGCTTCAGGCACACATACACACATGGAGGCACGTCGTTATATGACCTTAGCTGTTGGTGGGACAATAAACCATGATAACCAACCAACAAATTGGTTCGTCAAGAGGAACATTATGTACGCCCATCTCGGTCGATCATGTAACGAATTCTCCTCCATTAACCGGAGAGCGCCCTGTGGTCTAAGTATACAATGGGTTCTGTATCAAGGCCGAGTCATGTCAACGTCCTTAAATTGGTTGTTATTATTCCCTGCTAAACGTTTAGTATTTCGGGTAACCGCATTGATCAACTGGTATTGTTGGAGCACTATTCTAGCGGTGTTAGTGTAGTTCCTTCGAACATGCGCACTATCTTTGTCCTTCTCGTCTCAGCACGCAGTGATCTTATGGCGGGAGGCAACCAAAGTGGTGCAACTGTGCACACACTTACGTCTACACTCAAGTAAGGTTTATTTTTTAAATTCGAAATCCACACACTCAATCATTACAAAAAGTAATCTAGTTATAACATTTCCGATGAAATTGTCTGATCACATATTAAATAGACATCGACTGATTTATTGTGAAATTATCACAGAAGCAAAATATATCAAACGTGTTCAGCAAATGACACTAATGCCCTAATATGCATATATGCTAATGTAGCAAAAAAGGCAAACAAATAAAATTATACTGGCTAATTGAACGCATATTAAAGCTTGGTTTGGTTTGTTTGGGTATTTAAGGACGTGAAATGCTTTGGTAGTGCAGGAAAGCCTGAGTACCCGGAGGAAAATCACGCACCAGCGGCCAGTACCTGGCGACTGCCCCACGTAGGTCTCGAACACCGCGACCCAGTCTTGGGGGGCTAGTGGTAGCAGAATGTCAGACGACTTAACCATACGGCCACCACGGCCATTATTAAAGCAAAATAACCTGTCGTTGGATAAATCAACATTGCTCTGAATTCGTTTAATCACATTCTCCCGCCGCCATGTAAAATTCGTTTCAGTGTTAGATAATGGTCTATGAATAGTTCCAACGACATTAATCTTGACACCCTGTAATATGTACGTATTCCAAGTATTATCATACTTCAAGTAAATTAATGGAGGAATGAAACAAAAGATTCTATGAATAGCAACATGCGGTGACCTTTTAAAACATTAACTCATCCGCGGAATTCTCATACCTGAAATTTGTATAAACTTCTATCAAAGTATGGGATAAGAAATTGAGTAGCTAGATTGATAACACTAATTCATGTTAAGGCTTTATATATAGCAACAGTGACGTTGGCCTTGACCTTCGAGGTGTTATCATACCTGACATTTGTATAAAGTTTGATCAAAATCTTTCAAAGAATGTAGTTGATATATTGTTTACATTGAGTTTCGGCGCAATGTGACAAGAGGAATATCGACAACACTGCACATCTACATAAGAAAGGAAGTTTTAAAAATTTCAAAAATCAATTCGGTGAAAAGTGGCTGCTAATGACGCATGCGTGAATGTAAATTCAAAAGACGGCTTACTTTGACACTGCAGATAAATGTTGCTTTACCCAGAGATACGGTCCTCAATCTCAACACCCAGACGTATTTTTTCTCAATGACACCTGTTTCAGATTTTAATATTATGACATAATGTTAAAACCGTCGTTAATTCGTCATAACTTTTGTTTTGTTACAATACCATTCAAAGCATCAATTTCTAGTTTGAGGAGGGGGGGGGTTGCGGTGGCCAAGTGGTTTAGGCGTCTGACATTCTGCTACAACTATACCTCCATCACTGGGTCACGGGTTCGAGGCCTACGTGGAACAGTCGCAAGGTACTGGCCGTAGGTCGTTGGTTTTTCCCTGGGAACTTCGACTTTCCCCCACCACCAAAACCTTGCACGTCCTTAAATGACCATAGCTGTTAACAGGACGTTAACCACAAACAAACAAACCCAACCCAGTCTATTTTAAGGATTCATTGATATCTTCTTACATAAAACAAGGTGTTCATTTTATTGAAGATGTTATGGAATCATCGAAACATCTAAACGTGTATCAACTTCAAAATAAAAGTTTATAAAACGAAGTATGTATACTCATGTTACTTATTAATTAAAGGAAATCCTTGCTTTGCAATACCTCACTCTTGGCTTTAACGTTGGGTGTTGACTTGGGTAAGGTAGGCTATGGGTTATGTCCCCAGGCCGGGAGATACCAAAGTCCTAAAAAACGGTAGTTGTTATTCCCTGCCTAACGTTCGGCATTTGGGGGCTAAGACAACAACTAGTTCACCCGTTGTCAGTGTAATGTGACCGGGCGGAATGCTGTGCTGGGTGCCTTCGGCATGGAATTTCAGTTAGATAGCACTATTAAGTCGGCATCAGATCCGCGCTATCACAAGCAGGCAAGTACACCGACATTCCCTTATCCGGCACACAGACACACATGCACGATTAAACAACACACATGGATGCACGTCCATAAATGACCTTTGCTGTAAAACAATATAAAACCAAAAACCAAACCAAACTTTAGTTGTCATTCTATTTTAAATGGCGCATATTTCCAAACTGCATGTAAAACAATGACCACTCAAACCGTTTCCCAACGACAATAAGGGGTACGCGCTGTCTGTTTCACTACATTTATTATTACATTTTTAAGGGGCTATCAACAGAGAAGGGGTCATTACGGCCAATAGAAGGTCGAGATGTTGAAGGAAATGACAGCAAACAAATGAAACGGTAATAGACAAACGCCAACTTTGTACTTGTATTATTGTTGCGCCTATGAGTCGTATGGCTCTCAGCTTATAAAGAATCTGAATCTAAATTTGAAGCGTCTCCAGATATTACCTCTGAAATTAACCTATAAAGTAAGCGACATCAGAAGATATGTTATTCCACAGGAGTTCGGTTTCAGGATACTTTCGGTACCCTCAATTTTACAAGGTTTAAGAATGTGTATAAACGCCGGATAAAAAGTGTTGATGTTATTTACTGGTGTGTACATGTTTATTACTGACCAAAAGTATCCCAAAACCGAGCCCCTGTGTGTTATTCATATGACTTTAATACACCTATGTACAAAACTTCGGCTAGATATTTGAAAAATTGACTGAGTTATGATTAATTGAATTTACGATCGGTGGCGTGGCACACGTGTGTAAAGAAATATACAGATCGTGAAGCGTCTTTAAACGATATCTCTAAAATTAATCTAAAACGGAATCGACCTCAAAAGATATGTTATTCTCGCACCTCAGACATACCCCATGCTAGAATTTTCTATCTCGTCTGATCTGTCTTGTACATTTACGTGACATTTCGCGGAATTTTTACACTGTGATGTATTCATCCGCGCGTTAACTGTTTGAAATTGACAATTTGCATTATAAATGTTCTGTTTTGTCGTTATATGTATAATTTTGATGTTGTTAGATATTTGATGTTGTATATATAATCTACACTGGGAAATTTAATGTCATATGTGTAAGGACGGACTACATTTTTACGCGGAAGCATTCAAATGTAGCTTTAGTAGCGAATAGGTCATTATCATTTGAGGCCCAAGGCGGGATACTTGTAGTTTTTAGCAAAATTGAATAGTTCTTTCGAACCAAAAGGTGCGATAAAAAAAAATCAATTACCTGTAACTGAGCGAGATCGGGTTATCTCATCCTCGGGTTAAAATTCTCTAACAGCTTACGCCTCGGTTGGGATTTTGTTACAGAATCTTAACCCTCGACTAAGATAACCCGATCTCGTTCAGTTCCAGATAAAAGATTTTATTATTCATATGACTATAATACACCTTTATACCAAATCTAAGTTTGATATTTGAAAAATTGACCAAGTTATCGGGTCAGAGGCAAAATGTTACGATGTACAAGTATGTAGATTTACAGCGTATCACACATGTATACACACATAGGACTTCGCATATATATATTTATTACATTTTTGCCAGTGAAATATCGGAATCTATCAACTTGATAAAACTGATATCTTTCACAGTGTGACAAATATCAAAAGTGATATTTTCAGTGTGAAAATATCACTTTTTAGTATTGACCAATCATAACGGTATCTTCTATTCGCTGCATTCAAAGGCAACGGATTTTTGTTCAGGTTCAAATGAAGCGACGGTAGAATAAGTGGTTGTTATGGTAAATGTTTGGTACACAAACTTAAGTATTTACATATACATACCAGTTATGACATTTTTATAAGCAATCATACCAGAAAATAGCAGAAAACGTCGAAATTGCGTTGAGAATCCCATTCAAAATGGCGCGCAGCCTTGTTGTCAAGCGTGACGTCATTAAGATGTGGCGCTAATAATTACGCTTCTGATTTCCGCCCTTTTTTAATGCATAACATTTTTTCATGTTTTATGCTTTTAAAATGTAATAAATAGAAAATTCAATGGTGTTTTCAGTAACAACAAATATATTTCACTCGTGTGGCTAATATTTTGATATTAGCCACACTCGTGAAATAGATTTGTTATTACTGAAGACACCATTAAATATCCTCTATATATATAGCTGAACAGGGCCAGTCCGGATGGAACTGCTGTGTAACCACTGGTATATCATTTTGTTTGTTTTGTTATTTTTTGTTTTGTACTAACCACTCACCCCTGTTTTTCATTATTTTGAGCATTTTCCTAAAGTAGGACCTCAACAGTTCAGCAGTTCAAAAATTCATATTCAATTGGTTTTGTATATATTCTATGCCTTTTTGCTGCTAGAAAGTACCCACTCAGTAATATTTTTTTCCGTTTTCATAAATGCCGAGTTAGGGAAATATGGGTAGTCCACCATAGCTCTTTATGAAAGTAAAAAATAATATTATTTTATTTAGCGAGCGAGTTTCTGTCAAAGTGAACATTTGAATACTATTTTTAACGTTACGGTTTTAATGGATGCACAAAATCAATACATCAAAAAGTTGAAGGTTTAAAGGATGCGTCAGTTATGAAATTATTTAGATTTGCTCAAGACAATATTAATGATTTCTGCTTCTGAATACAAATTTGACGTGGTCACAGCTGCAAGGCTTTTAAATTACCTCCAATACAATAAAGTCAAAACCTGCCACGCTACGTTTTAAATAGTTTTGTAAATTCTACACTTAACTACCACAACTGTATATATCTCGATGCGTAAGGCTATGAATGTAAATAACATATTAAAGCACTGCTCGTCATGAAGTTGTGTGCAAACTAATAACTCAATTATTTAAACACCTCACAAACGTGATATTTTTTTTAAAATATTTATCTTGTCTGGACTTGATTTCTGAGGAAGTGTTTGGTCAATAGTCTAATTTAGGTGTTTGTGAACAGGTATCTCAATGGTCTATGGTAAGTGTTTGTAAACAGGTATCTGAGTGGTCTATAGTGAGGGTTTGTAACCAGGGCTCTGTGTGGTCTATAGTGAGGGTTTGTAACCAGGGCTCTGAGTGGTCTATAGTAAGTTTTTGTGTCAAGTTACCTCGGTGACTCAGTTGTCCATAGGTAGTGTGTCTGTTAATGTTCGTGACCAGGTACATGTGCCTCAGTGAACTATTATTAGTGATTGGGACCAGGTATCTCAGTGGTTTATAGTATAATTAGAGTTTGTGACCAAATATATCAATGATCTATAGGTAGAATTAGTCAAAGTCATGGACCTAGGTCTAGTCTAATTCCTTGGTGAAATGACGAATTATATCTACATGAAGCTTTTTTTTCAGTTCTCGTGAGATACGTCCCCTTCACACCTTTCGACTCATAGGTAAGACCACGGAATTATATTGCATATGACATGTTGACACGAACTAACGAATACACGATCGATTTATCACAGGTAACACAATGACGAGACTATCGTCACCAGAATCGATATCATTCTGCTTCGACAAATACGGAACCTTCGGCACTTTCTGTAAACGAGAAAATACGTATTTTCTCGTTTACGGAAAGTGCCGACGGCTCCCGATTGTGCTTTGACATGTGCTTTTAGCTGTCAAAACAAACACTCAGAGACTCGGTTCCGCGTGATTGCGCAGCCGCAACCAAAGACTCGCGGCGTAGCTTATGCCACTGCCTGGAAAATATGATCATGCGTGATTTTGCGAGATCTGCGTGAGTTGCCAATCTCTGCAATACATACTTCTCTGGTACAATGTACTTCTGTGTGCACATATTTGATTAAAATAAAAATAAAATCATGTAATTTTCACTTTTTCGTTGTGTATATTCTTTCGAGTTGTAGAAATAGTCGTTGTATTTATATTCGTGATTCCATAACAACCCCGAAAACAATGATAGTTTATACACACGAACATTTCATGTTATACAGTACAGCGTTATCCCACTGCATGTCGTAAAAGGCAACGAACATGGGTCCCCCTTTTGAGAATTGGGGATTTGCTGATTTGTCGTCTACTGAGGGGACATTGAAAAATCAAATTTTGACCTTCTAGTTCACTTACCCCAATAAGATAGGCTTCAAGCATTTTAGCTCCATATTACGTTATGGAAACGTGACATCAATAGTTCTTTCTCGATGTTATTTTGTCCGCAATTTCTGTTCGGCTCTAGATTTCGAGATGCAAATCAAACATTAGTACTGGTTAATGCTATTTTGCATATATGTATGTTTATATATTATATTTATAAAAAATAATTGTAGGTTCGTGATGTATATGCAAACAACTTATAATAAATACATTTCTTCTGAACTTGGACTAAATATACCTACTTAACATTTTAAATGTTATTTTTTCAATGGGCTTTTCATTTGACGTATGAATACAACAGCATAATATCAACCTGCTTACTCCTTTATTCCGCGGTGCATGGGTAATAGTTCTATAAATAGATTGTTTTCAAATTGTTTTGGGGATTTCTTGTCAGTTTTCAATGGAATTAAAGAAACATGATTTACATCTTAATTTGGTATTTTTCGCTGTCATCAATGCAAACAAGTTATTTATCTAAAAAGGACGACATCTTACAGTGAGTGATGAAGTCATAAGCTCCGGTACCTTTCGTGGTGTTAGACTTGCACAAGAACGATACTTTAGAAATCATCGAAACAAATATCAATATCGCACTGAATGTTAATACAAGGATATGATCCTGTTTTGTTGATGTTTAACAGGTATAAACCTCAATGGGCGTGAAAACAAATTCAATGTGAACGGCTTCACAACTAATAAAATTTGTCTCACGACCAATTGAGGTCTATACCTCATAAACTTAGCAAGACCAACGTAAACGTCAGTCTATTTCTAGCGTCTCCAGTTAATTGACGAAATGTTTCCAGCGGGAGCAGCAAATAAGAAATTCTTCTACAAATAGTTTGGTTTGTTTGTGTTTTACGTCCTATTAAGGTAATAGGATTGTGTCGCCATTTCTCAGTAGAATATATTCAAATTTTGTAGTTATATTGTTTTGAAGTAAAGAAAATTTTCTGCCAAAAAAATTATATATGTTGTCAGAATTTTAAGGATTTTAAATGGAAATTTATGTAAAAAGGAGTGAATTTTGAAAAAAACATTTATTTTGCAAAATTATGTCAATAAAAATGATACTAACATATATTAGTATTGCATTAATGTATATCAATTTCATAAATGCTGAAATTGTGTAAAATTAATCATCTATAAACGATTAAAAATTCACATTTTATAATAAAACCATATACACATAGTAATTGCTTGCAAGAGTTATCGTTCTTGAATAACTTCACAGTAGTGAAATAGGTAGCCGGTTTCCTGAAGTACAGAAAAATGGACACATGTGAATTAATGCCTGGATTGCTTTGCAATACTTTAATATTGAAAGAACACACTGTTATGTCAATAATAGGCATACAATATTCATCAGTTTAATATTAAACATTAGAATATGCGGAAATTGTGATACTGTCTCCCTACATTGGATTTTCAACTAAGGATGTACTTCCTATTTCCGTTTAGCAATACACTCCTATGACCTTAACAGCTATGGTCATTTAAGGACGTGTCAGGTTTTGGTGGTGGAGGAAAGCCGGGGTTCCCGGAGAAAACCACCGACCGACGGCCAGTACCTGGCGACTGTTCCACGTAGGCATCGAACCCGCGACCCAGTTGTGGCTAGTGGTAGAAGAATGTCAGACGCCTTAACCACTTGGCTACCGCGGTCCTCGACTCTGTTGTAACACCGATACAGAAAGCTAATTGAAGGCTACACATATATGAAACAGACTATAACTAAAAATCATCCATGTGTACCTTTTGATATGCACCGATTTTAACGTCTCGTTGAATTAAACAAATCTGTTTTCCAGTCAAAACAATTCCGTGTGTCTACCCGTGTGCTCGGTGACGGTTCGGAACAAAACGTGGTTATATATAAAGATATAAACGAGGATGAATGACAGAGAGCACATCGCTGAAACCGTTGATCTGGTAACAAAAGAAAATACTAACCAAGTTTGTATATCACAGTCTGAGTCGGACAATGGTGATGAGACTGGAGAGCCTCAAAGAGGGCACTGGGCAAACAAAGTCGACTCGTTTCTGTCCCTGCTCGGATACTGTGTTGGCTATGGAAACATATGGCGGTTTCCATATTTTTGCATGCGAAATGGAGGAGGTATGTATCTTTTAACACCATTGACAGCTGAAAAATGTTTAATATATTTCAGTGTTAAATCTTTCAGTGCATAACATTGACGGCAGATTCGGGGTTTTTGTTTGGTTTTATTAGCTCACCTGGTCCCATGGTGCAGCGTCCGTCGTCCGTCACCTTTTTTCTTGAAAACGCTACTTGTCCTTAACGGCTGTGAGGATTTTGACCTTATTTGGTCTGGAGCATTTTTGGCACAAGGGTTCTCAGTTTTGTATAAAAGGAGGGTATGGTCCCACTGGGGGCAGAAGGGCGGGGCCAAATAGGGGGGAAAATCGGTAAATCTTGAAAAATCCTCTTCTCAACCATAAGGAGGATTTTGACCAAATTTGTTCTAGAGCATTTTTGGACAAAGGAGCCTCAAGTTTGTATAAAGGTTTTTTCTCCTACTATTCAGGAGGAGGGATTTTAACCAAATGCAGTTTGAAGCATGCTTAGGGACAAAAGAATCTATTTTGTATAAACTGAGGTATGTGGGCCCCCTTGTTTTGGGCAGATGGGTAGGGTCCATTAGGGGGAAAAGAGGAAAACATTAAATATCCTCCTCTTTCTGTACCGTTGAAGGTATTTTAACCAAACTTGTTCTAGAGAATTTTCGGGCAAAGGGAATTTAATGATTTAAAAATGGAAGATGTGCCCCCACCCCCGAGGCAGAGGAGAGGGCCCAATAGGGGAAATAGAGAAAAATATTTTCCCTTCTGTACAAATAAATGGATTTAAACCAAATTTGGTCTGAAGCATGCTTAGGGGAAAAAAACTCAATTTGTTTAATTTGTATCAAAAGGTGCATGTGAGGCCCAATAGGGGAAATAGAGGAAAATTCGGACATATCATGGAAACTCATTTTCTTGGTGTTTTTCCCACCAAAACAGATTTATATGTAGTTCTTTTGCAACTTTGATTATTGTACTCCTTTGATAAACCTGTACGTTACTCAGCAGGTTTTAAATTGAAAAATAAAATACCTGGTGAGCTATTAAGGCCCATGGACCTCTTGTTTTGTTTAACGTCCTATTAACAGCTAAAGTCATTTAAGGACGTGAATCCATGTGTGTTGTGTTAGCGTGCATGTGTGTATGTGTGCCGGAGACAAGGCATGTTAGTGTACTTGCCTACGTGTGATAGCGCGGATCTGATGCCGACTTTATAGTGCTATCTCACTGAAATACCATGCCGAAGGCACCCAGTGCAGCATTTCACCCGGTCATATCATACTGGTTCCTTTTGGTGTCTGGTTCTACGAAGAGGACATGGAAGAGACCAAAATTGAGCTACTGCGCCCATTAAACACCTGGCATCTTTGTACTTTTCCTATCCTTTCTATCTTCCCCTTTTTCTGTATTTCCTGGTGTTGTCGCTCTAAGCACCTGTCTTTATATGACCCTGAATCTTACAATGACATTAAACGCCGACAAAACAGCATTGCTACATAAAAACAGTGTTGGAGGGCTAGTGCATTTTATAAACACAAATGCAAATATAGCATTTGTTACTAACAAGCCTGGAGGAGGTAGACAGCACCTCTTATCCACTTATCCCATCTACCCGTTTAAACATGTCAGAGCTCATTGCTACCGTAGTATGGAACTGTTTGGTTTGGTTTGGTTTAACGTCCTATTACAGATAAGGTTATTTAAGAACGTGCTTCCATGTGTGTTGCGTATGCATGTCTTGATTATATGAATTATATAATGTAGATTTAATAACTTGTAGTAACGAGTTAAGCCGACATGTTATGTTGTATGATACTACCTTAATTATTTCTCACCCAAAGGTTTGTCGGCAAAGACAGTTAATATGCGAAAATGACCTTGCTGTAGAGAATCTTGAGCTTTTGTATTCCCGAGAGTTGTCATGTTTCACAAGGGCGACTTATGTTTCCCTACTACAAGGGCAATGCCTTGTTTATTATAATGAAAAAGAACAATAACAGTAAAAATCATATATTCAGGCCTACGTGTACTCGTCATTGTTGAATACTTCAGGTACGCAAAACTCATGCGTGGTCTTTTATGTAAGTAAGGCCTGAAATGGGGGCATTGACCGGTAAAATGCGAGCACAAATTGGAAACATAATCTATTTTCTTGTCGTGTAATCCACTCAGAAAAAGCGGTTCAAATTAAATAACGGTCAAACGGTCCCTCCTATCTCAGTATATTACTCTTCCTGCTTCATCTTCGTATTTTGACGTACCCTTGCAAACGAATCTGAATTTCACATTCCTAATTCGGTTGTTGTCACCATGGCAGACGGCACAATGACACTAGATTCGGTAAGCGCCCCCTAGGGTAAGGGATGCCTATTAAAGAAACCCGAAATCAAGGAAGTCCCCAAAGTACAGGAAAATGAAAAACAATGTTTTCGTATCCGAAGAATGTTTTTCTGTGATTTGCTTCAGTTTATTTCTATGAGGAGCGATTATCTTGGCCCGTATTCATGAAACCATTCTCTTGCTCAACCCTTGATTCATTTGTCAAATTAGCTTTCTTGTCGCTAGTATAAATCACTTGACAAGGTCAAAAAGTCAAAACTGAACACTGAAAACAGTATGCGGCTTAAAGTCGCCCGATATATCTTTGAAACATGATTGACAAAATGGTGGGTTTTTTTTATTAATTTTGTATAATGCATCATAACGCTTCCATGGACAATTTTGATACGGATTTGGGCGATTTATCCTGATTTGAGGACATTAATGCCCAATAATAAGTCTCTGTGCCAATGTAAAATGATGTGTTAAATTCAAAGGTGTTACTGAATTTATCAAAAGGGATTGTGGTTTATTCCTAGGGGAAATATTATCTCCCTTGTTGTTTACATTATTTGTTAATGATTTAGAAATTTATTTCATATAAAAATAATTGCTTATCACTAGAAATATAAACTATTTATTTATTTTTACTTATGTATGCAGACGATATGGTCACACCAGAAGACTTGCAGAAAATGTTAGATTCACTATCAGATTATTGTAGAAAATGGAGCTTAACTTTAAATGTAGATAAAACAAAAATAGTTATCATTAGAAAAGGTGTTTTAATAAGAGCAAAAGAAAAATGGTTTTATAATAATGATGCGCTTGAAGTAGTTGATGAGCTTAATTATCTTGGTCTCACTTTAAATTATAATGGAAAATGTACAAAAACCCAAACAAAACTTGCAGAACAGGGTCGAAAGCACTATTTGCCATAATTAAGGTATGTAAAAAGAATTATTTTAATATAGAATCTCGTCTTGCTGTTTTTGACACGTTTGTCAATATTATTTTAATGTACGGTTCAGAAATTTGGGGATTTCATAAAGCACCCGAAATAGAAAAATTGCATATTGGATTTTTGTAATCATTATTAGGATTAAGAAAATCTACAAACTCTGCATTTCTTTATATTGAATTTGGAAGATCTCATTTAGAGCTGTTAAGAAAAGTTAAACATTTTAAGTATTGGATTAAATTACAACGTTCTGATAACTGTGTGCTGAAATTAAGCTTGTTATGTTGATATGGTTGAAATTAAAGAACCCTGGATCCTTAACTTAAAACATGATCTTTCAAGAGTCGGCCTTGGATACATGCTTGTGACTGATAGTATTAATAATTCTAGTGAGGTCTATAAGCAGCGATTATGTGATAGTTTCCAGCAAGATTGTCTAGAGAAAGTTCATTCTTCTTCTTAAGGAGTATTATATCAGCATTTAGTGATAAGTATTAAATTGCAACCATATCTTCATAAGGCAATTAATTTAAATCATCTAAAACATATTTCTAAGATGTGTTTATGTGCGCACGACCTGTTCATTGACCGTGGCCGTTACAGAGATATACCTAGAGAAGAAAAAGTGTATTTTATGTAATGAAAATGATATAGAAGATGAATTTCATTTTATAATTAAATGTAATCGCTATTCAGACCTCCGGTCTAAATATTATTTCAAAAGGCTTTGTAGGTATAAATTCGTTCAATTACTCAAAATCGAAAGCACAAAATAACTTAATAATTTAGGAAAGTATTTATAACTAGCGTTTAAACGTAGAGCAGGTTTATTAAGAGGTCATCACTAGAACAGGTCATGTTAAGATACATGTTGTATATCAGTTTATTAAATACAAATAATGTAATATACCATTATATTTATAAGTCTTGTCTGGGTGAATGAGGGTGAAAAAGGTTCTGGCGTGTGTATGAATGTGAGTATGATGAATGACGAATGACTGCTGCTGCTATTGTTGTTGCTGATACTGCCAGCCCGGATCATATTGCTGTATAAACATTGTTTCATTGGCATACTTATTGCTATGATTGTATAATCAATAATGTAAACGATGAGACGTCTATATTACTATATATTTGAACAAGATGTTGCACCTAAAATTATCAGTTTATGCCTAGTCTATGACAAAACAACACATTGCATTATAAACATTGTTTCACTGGCATGCTATGATTATATAATCAATTACGTAAACAATGAGACGTATATATTACTATATATCTGAACAAGATGTTGCACCTCAAAAGATCCGTTTAGGCATAGCCTATGACAAAACAACACAAGAAAAGTTGATTGGATTGATATTTAATATAAAATCCATTACCATCTCGCAAAAGATTGATAAGTCATAAAGAACACGTATAGAGAAATATAGGTCAGAAAAGACTGAAAAAAAAACAATTGCAAATCAATGAATCACATGATCAAGTTTCAAACCTATGAAGTTCCCGATCGAATTCAAGGTTGAGGTACTTTATACCATTCAACAGTCTCAATACTCTGATGTACCACGGAATTAGATTAAGTCTAAGTCCGTGGATGGTGTACGTAGAAAAGTGAATGTCTAAAAGGTTGAAAAACAACCATTTCTAAATAATGAATCACACAATCAAGCTAATTCAAACCTCACAAGTTCCCGAGCTGATTCAACATGCAACAATCGCAATATCTCTTGATGGTCGTTGGTACCGGTGACTATGAACTGGCCGCGCACGCGCAAAATTTCAAGCTTAGTTGTCTTGCGGGATTGTCAACATTTGATAAAGCTCTAAAAGTTAAAAGTTCCCAAAACATGTGTGTTAGAAAGCTGACTTTTGTTTTACTTCTACGAATGGCATGTTAACAATACTGCAGGAATCGCCCAAAATGTGAAAATACCGACGGTATTAAGCATTTAGCTTTATTAAAAGTTAATTTTTTATTTTGTTTTTATTTATAAGTCTACAAATAGAAAGCAGTATTTATATGATTTTTAAACACATTACATAGATATAGTCACACGAATATATAGTATGGACAAAGAGTCCGTAGCGGTCTGGTTACTTCTACAAAGAATGGAACTGAAAACAAATCAACCATTAACCTGAAAATATCATCCATTCTGACGAGGAAAACAACAAATAATAAAACAAACAAAATGTTATACCAGTGTTTGCACAGCAATTTAATCCGGGCTGGCCGTGTTCAGCTATGCAAAGTCCATATATGGGTGCATCATACTTGTACATCGTAAAATTTTACCTCTCGATAACTCGGTCAATTTTTTCAAATATCAAACTGAAATTTGATATAAAAGTGGCCGCAATTTTTTTTTTTCATATTCTGAAAAATTGGGATAAAAACTTTTTTTTACTAATTCTTGATCTGAGTAACACATGATTTCTAAAAAATCCAATTGTTTCTTCAAACAAATTAAAATGTCTGTAAAATATAAGCAAAGAAAAAATCATCCGCCAAAATGACAATATACTTTATATGGTCATCCGCCACCCAAAGAGTGTTATATTAATATAGACATATGAATAACATATCGTCTGATGTCGCTTACTTTTTTAGATAAATTTTAGAGATAAAGTTTGAAGACGCTTAACGATCTGTAGATTTCTTTACACACGTGTGCAACGCCGCCGATCGTAAAAATTCAATTCGTCATTTCTATGTCATTTTTTCAAATATCGACCTGAAGTTTGGTATATAGGTGTATCATAGTCATATGAATAACATATCTTCTGATGTCGCTTACTTTATAGGTTAATTTTAAAGGAAAAGTCTGAAGACGCTTCACGATCTGCGGAGATCTATTCACACACGTGTGCCACGCAACCGATCGTAAAAATTCAATTCATCATAACTCGGTCGTTTTTTCATATATCTAGCTAAAATTTAAAGTATATATCAATAAAAGTCCATTAATAACATCTTCTCCGATGTCGCTTACTTTAGTAAGAATTTTTAAAGAGATTGTCTGGCGACGCTTTCTAACTGTACAGGTTGATACACACACGTGCCACGCCGCAGATCGTAATGTTCAATTCATCATAACTCGGTCAATTTTTCAAATATCAAATTGAAATTTGGTATAAATATGTACTATAGTCATATTAACAACATATCTTCTGATGTCGCTTACTTTATTCGGTGTTTTTTGTCTGGCGACGCTTGTTGTCACTTGAAGACGCTTTTTATCGGTTGAAGACGCTTTTAAGGAGGACCTGCTGCATATTATCGATTTTCTACCCGACTTTGACGTCTAGAATTTAAGGATTCATGATCAACTCGCTGAGTATTTTTAGTAAATAAGTGAACGATATACGCGTACAATACACACGTATTAAAACAAGCATATTGAAACAAGGATAAAACCACTCACCTCCAATTAAATCATCACACCAGTTTCCCCGTAGTTTTGTAACAAAATTTCCTTCTTTCGCGAAAGATCAGGCCATTGTCAAGGTCGCTGTTAATCAAAATTGGACATTGGGGCTATACTGTCAAAAATACAATATAGGACCATCAAAAGGTCATATGGTCAAGGGTCAATGCCAAATTTTGTTAATCTTAACTGGTAAACATTTTGTTATAACATTATGAAGCAAAGTTGGTCAGAATTAATTACAGGTTTGCATATGCAATAAGCAATCATGCTGTCCTTCCATATGTCTGTCCGTCTGTTTGTCTGTTATCACTTTGAGATTATCTCGGATTATCTGAAATTTCACATGGTTATACATTGTGATACAGATTGACAATAGTGGTTTTAAAAAATCCTTATGTTAAGGACATCAGCTAAAATAGAACAGGTTATGGCCGTGTTTATAGAGTGGACACCAGCTGATTTTTCAGATAAAATACCATACAAACATGATTTGTTCTTAGTGTTTTACTTCATATAATAATGCAATTACTTTTAAGGTTTTAAAGCTAAATACATATGGCTATGTCTTCTATTCTATTTACATACTTTTGCTCACACTTTTAATTTTGTGGCATTATGGCATTGTGGCAAATGATATGATTTGTGAATAACCCTATGACCTATTTCCCGAAGTCCAAGATGTCCAATGTAGCTTTTGCCTGGTTCTTAAATGGAAAATATATAGTCATTCACACAGCGGGGCCCTTGCTGACCTGTCGGTGTTCTTGTGGTTGGAAGCATCCTAATTGAGAGGTGATGATAACAAATGTACAACTGGAGGAGGCTACCCCTCTGGAGCAATGTGAGAAAGGAGCGGAGGGCAAACAAGGATTACTGTATATCATCTATGTAACAGCATGTCTGATTTGATTTTATCAAACACATGACAGGGAAACAAACATCCTTTCATCTTTTGCTAATTGTGTTTCTCCGGGCATATTTCTCTTATGTGGAGTCTTTTCTAGAAAAACCAGCTAAAGGTACCACATCTGAGTTCCGAGTTGATGAAACAGACAACAATGGTGCGGTAGCCAGATTATCTGGTTGTTTTATTGTCCTATATTAGTATATAATAAAGTTATTTAGTGCTCTTGCATTAGGGAAGATGGGTATTTTATTTTTCCCCTCATAAATGTTCCACTCCGGCTTGATCCTTGTGAGGATTTTATCCCTACCACAAGGCCACTAAATGTATAAAATGAGGGAGGGGTTATAATGTGGCTGAATTGTCTGTCCATCTGTCTGTAGACAAAATGAATATGAATAAAAACATGAATTGGAGGTACCTCCTTCTAAATCACTGTACACATTTTAATCATACTTGGTACTCATAATACTTTTATTGAGGGGATAAAGTATGCAAAATGGATGAAGTGATACCACTTTAAAAGCATTACTTGCACTATTAAAGAACACATACTTGACCAATTGCAATGATACTTACTACATATAATGCTTAAATTGAGGGGACATAAGTATTCGATTAGAACAGAGAACTTTAGCTCCAAAATGTATTGAGTTAACTCCCCACTCACTACCGTGAAGTATAAATTAGAATAATAACCCCCCTTGTTATGATTCCTTTGTGTCAAACCCTCGGGGTTTGAAAAGATAATATTGCTTATTTTACTTTAAATTGCAGGGCCTTTCCTTGTTGCCTTTCTTTGCATCTTGGTCCTATGTGGAATTCCTACGTACTTTTTAGACCTAGTGATGGGACAGTTCTCAGGGAAAACCTCACTCCACGCGTGGCAAATATGTCCATTGCTGCAAGGTAAGTGAAATATGATTTAGTTCAATGTATATCATAGATCACAGAAGCTGTGACAAATTCATGCTTGCTAACCAACATTCATAAGTATTAAAAATTATATATATGAGGCAATAAAAGCATCACAGATTGGTTCCCGCTGAATTTCAGTTTTTGAAATCATTTCTTGAGGTCGTTATATTTTACTCAGATATTTCACATCATATTTATCTTCATCTCAAGTCCATTATAATATAAAATACAGTATTAGAACATGACATTTAAAAGCAATTTAATTAATATGTGAAACGCTTCACATTCAGATTCTGATGAAGTTGTCAGCTAACCCAGCGACACATTGATTCTTTGCGTGGCAAAGGACGGTTCTACTTTCAAATATTAAGGACCAAAAACTGTTTTACCTTGCATCTATGTTTACAGTTAATGTATCAACATAAGAATGCAATTTCATATATCCCGTTAATCAAATGAGTGGCATAACAGCTTGAAACATGATTACACATTGACTTAATAAAGTTATATATTTTAAGCCAACCTTTAGTCTCAAAGGATTTTATTTCATAATTTTGTACTTTAAAGTTGACTTCCGTTGTTGGCATTTATGGTAATTGTATAATTTTATACATATTATTAATTTTCATATTTCAGATATTCTGATAATGCCGAAATCAGTGTGCAACCCATCTGTTAAAACCATAATAACTTTTCTATAAAAAACATATGGTATTGCTCACAAAGCAAATCGCATCATATTTAGATATTTTAAAAACTATGGTCTCGACACCCGTTTTCACGCGTCGCCTGCTTTTACGAACTGTTGATATATGCAAATTACCCAGTACATGCAGTTTTCGCTCGGGCATGCGCGGCGAATATTTGGTTATGTTTGACGTCTGCTATGGTGTGTGACGTCACTGGTCAAGATGTCCTTCAAAACCAGAGAAAGTGCTAGTGCTACAAATTCAATTACATCAGGAACATTTCAAACTGTCACTACACCAGGTTTGTAGGAATGCCTTTGGAACACAAGCACCTCCATATTTCTTCTTCCAAAGGAAACGTATGAGGGTCGGAGCTATTCGTGAAAATAGGTAACGCGAGTAAATGTTACAATTTTCCTCATTCTAATTGCCTGATTGAGTATTCTTTGCATTGACTTCAACTGAAGTAAAATATTTAGATTTTAGTTTCTGTATATGTTTGTGTTAAATCATTTATTGTTTTTAGTTTTCATGTGTTTGTAAATATGAATAAAACGTGTGCTGGATATAGTTCCCGTGCACCGCCATCCTCATGAACCTCTGAGCTAGGTAGTTTTAATCTACGGCATTATGTTGTTTGATATTTAAATGTCATAAACTAGTTGGGATCACGTAAATCCTGATTACGTTTGCATTACCTTTCTCCTGATATTTCAGCAACCTTTAAACGTCTCAACATATTGTTCCTAGGTACAATAACTAGAAGCCAGAGTTAATTGCACTTTTGCCTTTCTTTGAATTCGTCAAATAATCATATTGTACTTGTCATACAGAGATTGTATAACTTATCATACTTCTATATGTTCTGTATATTTCCAATATTGCCCAAAGATCTTTTTAATGACAAATAAATTATCTTTAAAGGTTTTTAAGGGGAAACAACCTTAATCTAAGGTTAATAAAATATACAACGAAAGAACGAGAGATGTTCAGAAACCACTCCAGCACGTTGGCTAAAATACAAGTATGCTACAATCTTGTACCTTTATCCACCACAGGTAATGGCGCATCGGTCCTTCTCATCCCATTCGTGATAATACATGACGACAGAACAATGAGATGCTCAGCAATCACACCAGCACGTTGATAAAATACAAGTATGCTACAATCTTTTACCTTTATACACTGCAGGCATTGGTGCATCGGCCCTCCTCGTCCTGTTCGTTATAAACACTTACTACAATCTGATCATAGCCTGGACAATTTTTTACTTGGGAAGCGCCTTCCTTGTACCGTTACCATGGACATCCTGTGATAACAGTTGGAACACGGCGGACTGTATCAACAACAGAACAATGGAATTGGTGTCCCCGTTTCATAATGGTTCTTCTTTGACCGCGTACCATTCTACAAACCAATCAAATGCTGATGAACTGTCCGAATATGTAATCGAAAGAAATTTGACATTGTCTAAAAAGATGGTCACTTCTGAAGAGGAGTTCTGGCGGTAAGACATTGAAATTGTATAGATGTTTAACCCCGAAATATTGTTCAATCAACAAATAAGGGTATCTAACAAATTCTGGTGTGGTTTCTTCTCATCATAAAAGCTCCCAAAATATTACAGTGAATACAACCTCTGATACAGTACCGTGAATAGGATATAATTTATAACACAAAAAATGCCGCCTTCAAATGGTTTTGGTTGTTGCCGTTTTCCGACTCCCGGAGTTCTATTGACAATGTCGCACTGTACTTTCCAAAAAAATATCAGCATCTGTACCGTCAGACATGAGTCAGAAGTCATGGTTGTCCTCTTAGTCATTTGTTGATAACAATGAATTTATAATGAAATCTTACAGTTTAAAACCATTCAACACTTTTGGCCTTTTTTCATGAATATTGGAGACATTAGCGTAAATCAGTATATATAGGATTTACGTGGTAGTTAATAAACACAAAACGCAACATCAACCTCAATATAACAATATCTAACATATTCCCATTAATTTAGCACTGTCTATACGATATGTTGATGGTAATCTGGATAACATCTGGGGTAATTGTGTATCATGGCTCGGTTTATCAAAGCATGATTACCTTTCAGATAACAAAACCGTAATTTGAACTCAATATCGATGTGAATGTACGACAGATTTACACAGAGATCCTCGAAAAAGTACTAAAACCTCAGAACAAAACTCGGGAAGTACAGATGTCGTCTGATTCGTCGACGAAAACCCGCAATAACAATCGGGGTCAAATTCATGTAATGTCAAGTCCTCAAAGTTAGAAATGGGGTAGTTAACGAAACTACTAGAAAAACTAATGATCATGATGGCAGCAGTTAAAGTTGCCATCTTCTTCATCAACCTGCATCTCTCCAAATTGTCTGTTAGCATTTGACATCTTTCACAGAAACCTTGCTCAATCGTGAAATTTAAACAGGCACAATAAGCAGCTGGTGTGTGTTCAAAAAGGTTAAAATTTGAAACGAAAGTTTCCTGTTTAGGGTTGCAAACTTGCCATTTTACAACCAGAAGAGAAACGAAAAGGATTTGTAATTGTTTTTGATATTTCTAAAAAAAAAAAACTATCTGTGTTAAAGATCGTTTGCTCACTTCAGTGTGGTTTTTGGATATAACTGCAGCACAGTTTGTAGTTAAAGCTTGGCCACTTTCGTTGACACTGTAGCTCTAGTGGTTAAAGCAATATCATAGCGATCTAAAGTGAAGGGTTCTAATCCCGGTTTGGCACCGCTTAATGCTTTCACTCAGATTACTTATTTTGATTTAAATTTTGTTTATTTCATATCTAGAATTTCTAATAAAAGTCCAACAAGATAGGATTTTCTTCCATATGTTTTTTTCTTATATAATTTTTGACAGTGGTATGGGGATCACTAACGACTTGATAATAAAATCAGGTCTTGCACATAGAACCTAATACAGGTGGTCAGGTGACGCAGTGGATTGCGCACCCGACCCCGTTGGTTTTCTCCGGATACTCCGATTTCCTCCCACACTAAGACCCTCTTCGCGCTCAAATTCGGGCCAAAAAGATTTATTTATATGATTTGTAATAGTTTGTTTCATAATTATTGACAATATATTAAAATCTATATTAAATGACAGATACAATATTTAAAAAACGGGGATCTTTCTCAAGCTTTTCTCCCCCAAAACAATTAGAACCGTATTTATTTGTATAAATGTTGAAACTTTATTTACAGATTATACAAAATATGTTGATGTTATTTGGGTTTTACAGGTATCGACTTCTAGAGATATCATCTGGTATCGAGGATATAGGTGGGATGCCTTGGCATCTAGCGGTGTGTTTCCTGGGAGCCTGGTTATTAACGTTTTTCAGTTTGATCCGAGGTGTCCGATCTTCAGGCAAGGTATCTACTTTCACGAGTGTGACAACTGTGTAGACGTCTAGTAGTTTACATTTACTGTGTGTGTTTGATTTCTTTTGGCATGGTATTTTATTGAGGTAGCACTCTTAAGTCGGCATCAGATCCGCGCTTTCGCGAGGAGGCAATTACCCCAACATACCCGGCCTCCAGCAGACATCCACACATACATTACACACATGGATGCACATCTTGAAATTACCTTAGCTGTTGACAGGACATTAAAACTAATCAAATTCAACCCTTCAACAATACACTACAGTAACTGCAGATTGCTCTAAACTACCCTCCTGGACAATGGTTTCAATCCTAAATTAAGGAAAGTTGCCAGTATCTTCTTTCGTAAAGGCAGTGGGCAAATGACTAGCCAAGTCCATTAGTACTTTACTTGAGAAAATGTGAATATTCCAGACAAAAGCATAAGTATTTTCCACTTAGTTATCATCTTTTCAACTTTCAATTTTAAAAGGAGCCGTGTAATGGAGGAAAACATTTTGGACGTTACTGAAGCGTGATTTGGCCAGGGTATTAATATTGACCATCTTTGGTTTTATGGTTAGAACGTCAGTAAAGTGTATAATGATAGTTATACCAGGGATCTAATCGTGCTCTTCAATTTCATCTTTGGAACATGTTGGTGGTTTGGTTTTATAGGGTTTACGTACTATTAACATCTAAGGTCCTTTAAGGGCGTGCCTTTATGTATGTTAAGTATGTGTGCCGGAGACAAGGTATGTTGGTGTATTTGCCTCCTTGTGATAACGCAGATCTGATGCCGACCCTATAGTGCTATCTCACTGAAATACCGACATATTCACATTATACTGACAATGGGTAAACCAGTTTTTGCCATTCCCCTTTAATGCTGACCGTTAAGCAGGGAAATTACAACTACCATCTCTTGTGACTTTGGTTTGTCTCGGCCTCGGGACAGAATCCACTGCCATCCTCACCTGGGCAAACGTTCAACACCATGGCTAAAAGCGAGGTGTTACCAAGGAAGGCGCTTTGATATAAAAGGTAGTTAGAAAAAGAAAGAAATATAAAGATTACAAATATTTCAACGGTTGCAGCAGATTATTTTGGTCACTTTTGTGGCCCAAAATAGAGGGCAAGAAAGCAAAGCAAATCCCAAATTCTGCAGGGTGGTGACGCATTAGTCGCCTGTTACGCTACAATGCAGTTGGTAACAGCAGGTGTATTCTTTTCTCGATCCTCGACCTGAAAGAATGACATACAACTACAGCTTTTATAGTTGTACGTGGGTCCTGAATGTATTCCAGAAACGCCTCGTTAAGACTTATTTTCTAAAATATACAAAATAAATAGTAAAGGGCCTAGTATGGATCCCTGTGAAACACCTTTTTTTTAATAAATGTTATAGAACTCTATGGTCGACGAGGACATATGCATATTAAGAAGTATGATGCCTATCAAATAAATTTTCATTATATCCGTTGTTGTATTAGTTTCATTTAACCTGCTTTGGCAAGAGTGACTTACTCATAAAACCAGGGCATGCAGGGTGGTTAAGTTTATATTAAGGATCTCCGTCCCATTGCACTGTGGGTTTTTTTGCGTAGCAACATCCCCTTTATGTCGTAATGGCTATAACTGTAGCACAGTTAGGTCAGGACACTCCCATTGACAAGGTAGCTCAGTCGGTTAGAGCGATAGTATAACAATTGGATTCGAGGTCGATATTTAATTCGATTCTTGGTCTAGCACCGCTGAAGATTTATGCTCAGAACAATGTTGTTGATTTTGTTTTATTCATTTCATCTTTATTAATTTTCATAAAAGCCTACAAGGTATGTTATATTATTTTTTATTCAGAAATGATTCATCAAAGCCATGGCCATGCTGGAAGAAATAGTTCTGTTGATTTAGATTTTTTAATATCTTGTTTCGATGTTCGGGTTTTTAGTATTTGACTAAAACCAAGTGAAAGAAATGAACGTATGTATTTGCAGTACTGTTCTTAATAGTATCATCAGCATCTCTCCCTCATTCATGCCGACGAGGTAGAAGCTTAAATATGCATTCATGACACATTCAAACTTGCTTAAAAGTGAAGACCAACATTTTTGTTTCGCTTGTGATACCATATTCACTGTTGAACATTTCATGGTCACGTGTAACGATCTGAAACGGATTTTTTGGATTTTAAAAATACGAGAAATCGGCCTCTAAGATAGAACATAGCGTTTACAACACTTGTATACTGTTTGTGTACTGTGTGTTTGATATAGAAATAATTCCCGATGGGGGACTATGGATTACCTTGCGATACTCTGCCTTGTTGTCGATAAAGCTTTTTTTTTAAATTACCAAATTCAAATTACACTTTAATTTTTTGTGAAATTGAAACTAACTAAAATTTCACACATGTTGATTTGGTTTGAATCATACCATTCTATAAAGCAAAATACATTCACGTCAATTAACTGTAACAGGTGTTCTTTAAAAATCGATACTAGTTCAATTATTGTTTTTTATGTTAAAATGTAAGCGGTTTAATGCAAGACACTGATCAATCCATCTTTACGTGGCTTTCGTTTAATGTATAAACTAAAACTGAAATTTGACAGCAATGCGACGTTTAGCCAGGACTAAAATAATTTTACTATATGCCTGTTTTGCACATTATACTGAAGCGTCGTCAATGAAAATACCCAATATTTTATGGTTTCGGTTTTATTTGGTTAAGAGTCCTATTAACAGCTGAGACTATTTAAGGACGTGAACCCATATGTTTGAGGTATGTGTACATGTTTGCTGGATGCAATATGTTGGTGTATTTTCCTATATCTATAGAGCGACCGTAATCTTGGTCTTGGTGACGCTTACTGTCATTGATACAGCAACTTGTATGCAAAGTGTTTTACATTATTCTACCTTCAGGAATTTGATTTTCACTTATGATCTCCGCGGTGCGGTTCGGTTTGGTTTTATTTGGTTTCTCGTCCTATCAACAACTAAGGTTATTTAAGGACGTACCTTCATGTGTGTAATGTATGCGTGCATGTGTGCTGGAGGCAGGATTTGTTGGTGTATTTGCCTCCTTGTGATACCGCGAATCTGATGCCGAATTTAGGCGTGCTACCATGCTGAAGGTACCAAGCAAAGTATTCTAACCAGTCACATCACACTGACAATGGGTAAACCAATTGTTGGAATAACCCTAAATGCTAAACGTTAATTAGGGAATCACTACTACCATTTTAAATGACTTTGGTATTCCCCGGCCTCGGAACAGAACCAATTGCCTACCCAAAATGGGTGGACGCTCAACACAAAGGCCAAAAGTGAGTTATTTCCAAGGAAATCGTAGGAGGCAAAGAAGTTTTCAGGTCGTAGAGAGAAAATTCAGTTCCCAAATGTTTCAATGAGTGCAACAGATCAGTTGTGGTTTCTTCAACACACAGAAGAAAGTCCCCGACTCTGCGGGTGGACCACATTAGTCGCCTTTTACATGTTAGATGTAGCAGGCCATGTTTTTACCCGGATCATCACACAAGTGAGGAAGGCAATTGGTTCTGGCCCCATTCCGAGGCATACCAAAGTCCTTTAAAAATGGTATTTGTTATTCCCTTGGTAAAAGTCCAGCATTAGAGGTAATTGGAACACTGGTTTACCCGTTGTCAGTATGATGTGACCGGGTGGAAAATTGTGTGTGCTGAAGGTCTTTGGCATGCATTACACAGAGAAAGGCACATCCCTACGTAATTGACAATAGCTGTTAATAGGGCGCTAAACCTTATAAAACCAAATTTGTCAAAGAAATTAAATTTTATTCTAAATATTATTATTATTATTCCCTAGGTGGTGTACGTCACTGCCCTGCTACCTTACGTCATTCTCACAGCGATTCTCATCAGGGCTGCACTCCTCCCGGGGGCCGGGGACGGCATCCTCTATTTCATCACACCTAACCTACACAAGCTTGTGGAACCACAGGTAAACGCGTAACAAACAGTCAGGTATCATCGATTGTAAAATATATTTGTTGACAATATTTTGCGTTAATCATTGTTTATTCACGAAGTATTTATTGTTTTATATATCATTGTATAATTCCTATCAACAACATGTTTAACAAGCTGTAAAATTTAGTTATATTGCTGTTATATCGCTGTGACATGGTTCACTCACACCTGAGTTAATGTAACTTAACAATTGGCATATTTTTAGATCTAAAAGTAACATTCAAATTATAGCCCTACTACTTCTAGCCAATTTGCAACAAAGAGAGCTATGCAGGAAGAAATTGTATTTATATAACGTAAAACCTCGTATAGGTTTACAATTTGGTCCCCGATAATCTATCATAAATTTCATTGCACTTTTTTTCTAAAATGAGATTTCTGGTTATATGGTGAAATGGAATGTATTCAACAACTTACATTGTTAGTGTAAAACCATTCATACATTTAATTATTTACTTTAAAACTACTTTCAGTTCTAGAAATTCAGTGGGTTTTCCCCCGATCTATCAGACGTTTGTTAAAGGGAAGCAACTCATATTAGTACTTTTAATTGCAATGATGTTCTCGAAATTGATCAATTTGAAATGACCGAATCACAGCAGGCGAAGTGGCAACGTTTCACTGCTAATAAGCATATGTTACCTAGAGTTGATTTTTAGCTCAACTGGCCCGAAGGGCCAAGTGAGCTTATGGCATGGTGCGGCGTCCGTCGTCCGGTCGTCCGTCCGTCCGGCGTCAACTTTTTACTCAGTAACCAAAAGGCCTAGGGGGTGATGATATTTGGCCAGAAACATGCTTGGATGAAGGGCTACCAAGTTTGTTCAAATAAATTACCTTCATCCATTTTCAAGGTCACAGGGGTCAAATATGTAAAAATCTTTAATCAAATTCTTCTGAATAACCAAGAGGCATAGGATGATTATATTTGGCCAGTTACATGCTGGGATGAAGGGCTACCAATTTTGTTCAATTAAATGACCTTGACTTATATTCAAGGTCACAGAGGGCAAATATGTTTAAAACATTTAAACAACTTCTTCTGAATAACCAATAGGCCTAGGGTGAAGATATTTGGCTAGGGGCATGCTGGGATGAAGGGCTACCAAGTTTGTTCAAATGAATGACCTTCATCTTTTTTAAGGTCACAAGGGTCAAATATGTTTTTAACCTTTAAACAACTTCTTCTGAATAACCAAGAGAACTAGTATAATGCCAGTAACATGAGTGGATGAAGGACTACCAAGTTTGTTCAAATAAATGACCTTGCCTTATATTCAAGGTCACAGGGGTCAAATATGTTTAAAACATTTGAACAACTTCTTCTGAATAACCGAGAGACCTAGGGTGATGATATTCGCCCAGTAACATGCTGGGATGAAGGGCTACCAAGTTTGTTCAAATAAATGACCTTGACTTATATTCAAGGTCACTTGGGTCAAATATGTTAAAAATATTAAAACAACTTCTGAATAACCAAGAGGCCTAGGTTGATGTCATTTGGCCAGTAACATGCTGTGATGAAGGGCTACCAAATTCGTTCAAATAAATGACCTTCATCTTTTTTCAAGTTCACAGGGGTCAAATATGTTTTTAACCTTTAAACAACTTCTTCTGAATAACCAAGAGACCTAGTATAATGCCAGTAACATGCTTGGATGAAGGACTACCAAGTTTGTTCAAATGAATGACCTTGACATATATATTCAAGGTCACAGGGCTCAAATATGTTTAAAACCATTGAATTACTTCTTCTTAATAAGCAAAAGGCCAAGAGTGATGATATTTGGCCATTACCATGCTGGGATGAAGGACTATCAAGTGAATGACCTTCACCCATATTCAAGGTCACAGTGGTCAATATATGTTTAAATCTTTAAATGATTTGTTCTGTATAACCAAAAGGTCCAGGGTAATGATATTTTGCCAAAAGCATGCTAGGTTGGAAGACTATCAACCCTGTTCAACCTAATGTCCGTATTCGACATTCAAGGTCACAGGTGTCAAATGTTTAAATCTTTTAGTAGGTTCTTATGAATGAATCAAACATGCTAATTCTGCCTGTAGCTGTATTTTAGTACGCTTTTAAGATTACAAGTGTGAGATTAATACCAGGTGAGCGATGCAGGCCCATTGGGCCTCTTGTTGCAAAGTGTCGAGGTTAATGATAAATCAAACACGACTTAATATCAAAATAAAAAAGAAAATCAATACTTCATCTGAAACAGTAATGAACAATAATGAAATAACCACCAAAAATAATATTTATGAATAAACAAAGAAAGGTTAAAAACTATGCATTAAGAATTATAGAAAACATGACAGAATAACTTACTAAATGTACAATACAACACTTTTATAAAACCAGCAATCTCGTATCAATGCATTAAGTAGAAAGATTCGATATATCAGGACACAGTTTACATTGTAGTCTATCCATAAGATTTCAACGACCAGCGTTGTTACGACTCACTCAGACATCGCTTATTAGACATGCTTATTTTCAGGCCAATAAGCAGGGTTTAATGCTTATGATATATTCATGGTCAGGAACGTTAATGAAAATGGTTAACACTGTAATGAGAAATATGAATATTAAAGGGGAAACAACATTTAATGAATAATTTGATATTATTGTCTAAACTTTACTATATATATAAAACATGGTTCTTATGTCTTCAGTTCTTTGATGCCAACATGCATATAGTAAGTACCGTATAACCGGTTATCTATGCGGGCTTAACTTTTCGCAATTTTGACCTAAAATTTGAAAAGTTTACACGAATCATAATTTCACAATCTAGACATGTCAAGGAATTTAATTTTCAGAAACAGGACATGCGGCATATAAAATGTCAAATAGTCAAATGAATACGCACTATTACAGCATATTGAGTAAAGTGTCAAATAATCAAATGAGCAACGACAGGTTAATGCATTTTGTTGAACAAATCACTTTTGACGTATATGAATCACATACACGCTATTGCAGGGGACGTTATGATTATGAAGTTTATTTTCGTCGCTCATTTTTACGCTTATTCGGAAGATCATGTTTTCGCAATCACGTAATTGAACCGCGAAATGGCGAAATATCAACCCTGCGGATATATCCTACCGTACGGTATTTGTTTAGATGATAAGCATGCCTCATTCTCATAGATAACGAGAGTTTTTTTCATTACTTTAAAGGTGTGGTTGGAAGCTTCCCTACAGGTGTTTTACTCCCTGGGGCCGGGATGGGGGCCTCTGATCACCCTATCCAGCTACAACCATTTTCATAACAACTGCTTCAGGTATATCATTGCACCAACGAGATGTCTGTCACGTGGTCTGGTGGGTTGTGTCATAACCTGAACAAATTACCATAACAAAAATTAGAAGGACTAATGAGGATTATTTGCAGAACATTTCAATAATAATACAAGTGTGATTTGGACAACTTTAAATTAGTCATCTATAAACATTATTTGTCACCCTTCTAATTTTTAACACCCTTTCTGATTGGATATCTTACCGGGGTCTATATTTCTATAGACCCCGCACTGTCGGGGCTTATAAAAGCACGTGCGAGGGGAGATAACTCAAACTAGAATCTCTCTTCATAGCAACAAAGATGGCGTCCGACACACACAACCGTTCGATGTGTGCCAATCATTCACAGGATAAAATAGCCCACTTATTTCATAGCAAATTTAACGAAACAGGCAATGAGGGGGCCGCTAGGGTGTTAACTACAAAGATGGTTTTGTATTGTCCGAAATGTTTCGGAAAAGATGTCCGGTAGGGGCTATTTTGGTAGCAGTCAAGTAAGGTGACCCAAATCGGATCACCAAACCATCATCACCAGGACCCCAATCGGATCAAGACTTGCATTTTGCAGTATCCTACACTTCAAATGAATATTTTTTTGTCAGCATATTAGCATTTAATGATTTAGAATGTATATGACAAAAAGTTTTTCTATAGTGTGAATTTATTCCTATAGTCCAAAACAGAATGCATAGTGGTCGCAGGTCGCGCCATTTTTTAAAAACGTTATCAAAACACTAACATTTGAGTTTGAATTACGTTTTATGGTGCTCTTCGAACTTAAAAACTAATCATCTGTAGACAAAAAAAATGGTACAAGGATATCTATTCTAAGGATACATCATTGTTATAACTGTTTTGTTGACACATTTATTGATTTATAAGTATTTTTGCATAAGGTGATCCGATTTAGGTATTGTCACCTTACAACTCAAACTCACACAGTGACTTATAACTTTACTCAAAAAAGTAATAAACTATCTAAAAGATTGTCAGGGTGACAAATTCGTTATCTCTGGGTTAGGAGGGGTCTACGGGCTCATAGACCCCTTTGTTTTTTATAGACCCTTCGGCTCGGGGTCTATAAAAACCAGACGGGGTCTATGAGCCCGTAGACCCCTCCTAACCCAGAGATAACTAATAATATACTAAAGACAATAAAGTTACTCGGATTGCAAAGTCGCTTTCCAATACCAAGGACGACCGTGGCTTGATTCCTCAATCGTGGACGTGAACATGTATCAGTCTCTTTTAGTGTCTTGACACTTTGACAAAATTTGGTATTTTCATATTATTTATATATAGATCCCTTTTTATTGTAATTATTTAATTATTTTTTTCCGAATTTCAAAATATTTCAAAGTTTATAAAAATTCACTGTTTTCTACCTACATAAGTCCCTACATGTACCTGTACACATACTAATAATTCAATAAGGACCATACCATGTATATCTGAAACGGGTTATAAACCCATGATCACTCAGGTGGGAAAAATAATATGTCGGTCCGGTAACGCGGACTCTTTTCAATTATTGGCTTAAGTGAGAATCAACCCTATTTCTCCCACATCGTGGGTTTTCTCCATGTATTCCAGCTGTGTGCTTCCACCTGGGCCAATACACGTGATAAAGATACGATTTAAATCATAATTGTTTTTTAAAAATTAGATATTATTTTTTATTTTTTTAGAAACGGTAAAATAAACCATAGAAACATGTCATGTCATTTTTACTGTGTAAGTTGAAATGTCCCCTATCGTAGTAGTATGATAGTTGTTTGTTATTCTATGGTTACCGTTATTTTGTATGTGAATGTGTCGTTTGTAGAGATTCCATCCTGATGGTGTTTATCAGCGAGGGGACCAGTATCTATGGAGGGTTTGTTGTGTTTGCTGTCCTAGGATACATGGCCCATGAAACAGGAATGCACATATCCGATGTCGTTACATCAGGTATAAAACAAATAGGAATCACTCTCCAACATACACATTTGTTAGATAAAGAGTCTCTCATTTGCGTCTTTTGGTAATTGATATTTCACATTACACGACGGTGTAGAATTTTGGTAAGAACTTAATTGCTTGGTTCTGACCGCAAATTCAACACCCGATTTTAAAAAAAGTCCATATACCACCTAACTACATAATGTTCGATTTTTTTCTCCCATCTCGGAATCGAAATACAACACTCAATCCAGCATTTCTAGTTAATGTACTCATCAACTAAAATATATGAAGAAATAGAAAGGCAAAACACGGTTTGCGATAGGTATATCAGGAAGTTTGAAAAAAGAGCATTAGAGACCTTCCGAACAAGCAGCTTGTGGAATAGCTCTAATGTTTAGAAGTTGGTGTCAATTGCCGACAGCATGATCGTCACTTGTCATTCAAATGATGTTTTGATGATGTTTACTAGTGACGTCATAATGTAACGACGTGATCTAATTTTGATTATATTAAAGGTCAGTGAGAGATATGGCCACACCCATTGAACCCTAGCAATGTATTTTTCTTTATCCATTAGGTAGGTCTTATTATGAGTATGAATAGAAACATAAGATTATTTGCTAAATGCATATGATAGTATATTAAGCTCACATGGCGATAAGACTTTAGCATGCATGTTCACTCAGGACCCGGCCTCGTGTTCATGACTTACCCAGAGGCCCTCTCACATCTTCCACTCCCCAATGTGTGGACAGTTCTATTCTTCCTAATGATGCTCACCGTTGGAATGGACAGTCAGGTAACGAAAACCTCAGTACATATAAATAAATTTTGGGGCAACAAATGGCATAGAATGAAACCTGAACTTATTAAACAATCCATTACAGATATTTTGATTAAACCCTTACCTCATGTATAGCTAATCTTTGCTATTAAACCCTTACCTCATGTATAGCTAATCTTTGCCATTAAACCCTTACCTCATGTATAACTAATCTTTGCCATTAAACCCTTACCTCATGTATAGTTAATCTTTGCCATTAACCCCTTACCTCATGTATAGCTAATCTTTGCCATTAAACCCTATCCCATTTATAGCTATCCTGAGAGAACCATTAAATCCTATATCATGTTTAGCTGGCCTGTCACTTTAATTATGTAGATATTCACAGGCATAAATCTTTTCACCTGTAAAGCATGTGGCATTAAACCTGTATGCTATATTGCTAACCTGTTTCATGAAACATTATCTTCTATACAGCTATCTTGTGTTGAGACCGTAATATCAGCCGTGATGGACCAGTTCCCCACTCTTCGACGGAGACGAGTCCTCGTACAGGGTGTTGGCTGTATATTGTGGTACTTTTTAGGACTGATTCTATGTACACAGGTAAGATGTCAAGTTTTACTTTTAACATTGACTTCGTGTCATTGGTTTGTACTCATAACTTGTTAGGTAATACCTGATTGTACAAATTAATGTTGTTTCGTATTCAGCATTTTTTTTTACACTTTGTAATTGAACACCTAACTAAGATACTCATAAGCGTTATTAAACTATAATAAACACCCTACTGTATGTCCTTAGATGCGACTAATGTGGGACTTCTGCAGAATCGCGGGGATTTCATCGGTGTCTTCTATTTAAAGGACGTAGAAGAGTCCAAAGTTGATCTGCTTCCCCGATTCCAACACTTGTGATCTCTTTTTACTCTATTGCCCACCCTTTCTTTTGTGTCTCCCTTGATACCCGTCTTTACTTTACCTAAGATGTAGCAAAAGTAATAAATAAATGTGTGTTGTTTGTTTATTCCAGGGAGGAATATATGTGTTTGTTGTGTTGGACTGGTACATTGCCTTTGGTGTTCCCATGCTTGCTTTCATTGAGTGCGTCATCATTGGTTGGATATACGGTAAGACAAAACAGATTGTATTTTTAGATTAATGGATGGTTGGGCGTCGCAGTGGATAGCGCCTTCGTCTTTTACAAAACGGCCGGGGTTCGATTCATCGATCGGGCGTGAAAAGGTTTAGGGTTACTTGCAAAACCACGTTGTTTTCTCCGTTTATTTCTGTTTTATTCCATATTAAGACCCATTGCATGCTGCCATCCGTGCCAACGAAACTGTTTGATTGATAACTGTCGTAATATAAACGAAATTCGTATATATCCTGTATATAATTCACATGTATTGAACGATGTTATTATCTACCGCTGTGTATTAATGTTGATCAGTCCAATACATCTGTTGTTGTTTTTAGGAGCTGAACGATTCTCTCGTGATGCAGAGTTAATGCTAGGAAGGGGAATTCCAGTCCTAATGAGGATAGCGTTGACTTTCATCGCCCCGAGCATACTTCTGGTCAGTGAATCTACGAATATATATAATTATCGTAAAATTCTGTGTTATTCCGATTAGCATTAGGTAATATCATGCGACGTAGAAACACTTGTTCTCTTGTTCCAATGGAGGCAAAACACAATGATTTCTAATGTTGCCTTTCATATATGCAGTGTCCTTCCATTAAGTTGATACGTCAAGTCATGCTGGGCAAAAACTTACCGCTGATCAAGTAGCTCAGTTTGTTAGAGCGACCATACTCTGATCGGAGGTCTGATCAAGTAGCTCAGTTTGTTAGAGCGACCACAGTCTGATCTGAGGTCTGATTAAGTAGCTCAGTTTGTTTGAGCGACCATACTCTGATCGGAGGTCAAGATTTCGAATCCCGGCCTTGCCTCGTTGCATTTTATTACTCTCAGAGCACTGTTGTTGATATTGGTTCTTTGTTTATCTTTATTTTTCCGTGGGCATTGGTTTTTTATTTAAGAAATGTTTTATTGGACCTATTGTCATGCAGTTAAAACGTTTCCAATTTATATTTAGATTTTACGGGTATTCTTCGTAGCATATACGATATTAACAATTGCAGGTATGGTTGAAATATTATCTGTTTGATAAAGACTTAGTTTTCACAGAGGTACACTATTCAAATGTCAATACTGTGCATGAAGTTGCTCCTCAGGAATCTGTTTTTCGAAATATTACAACAAATGATAAAAGCAATGAAATATTTGATGATGGTTCATCAATCTATCCGGTGACCTTTATGTACAAATAAAGTGATTTGAAATTTAATGCAAAAAAACCCCGTATGTTTCTAGCTTTCACCCATTGTCTAAATTATACTGAATGTTATGTAACAAACGTTTTACGAACACCTGTTATATTCCTGTAGAAAAGAATATATTTGCGTTTACAGACTACATGATCGTTAAGAGGCGACTTATTGGGCAACTCTCTGCAGCTATAGTGAATTTCTTTCCTGATCATCACCTTTGGACAAAAAGGCAACCAAAAAAAATATGCTGCACCCATTGCAATACTTGAGATCTGTTTATTTGCTAACTACAATTTTGTTTCTTAACGTCTTACTATGCCATAACTCGCTCTTAAGTTTGCTTTTGGCCTTGGTGATGAGCAGTTATCTAAGCGAGAGTTTTGGTTCTGCCTCATGACCAAAACAAACCAAAGTCATTAAATTCGTACCCAATGTTTAATGTTCAGCGTTAAATTGTTGGTGATATGGACTAGTTAACCCATTATCAGCTTTATGTTACCGAGTTGGAGTGTCGTGTTATCATGTTCAGGTAATGACAGCGATACGGCACATTTGAGTGGTCCATTAACTATGAACACCATTTTCGTATGACGTTTGCTGCTGCGCATAGATAAACGTTTAACAAACTCCATGTACTTAACAAACATCTGTTTATTTGTTATAACGGTTACTAATTATGTACCTTTTGTTTTAGACAATCGCTGTTTCCACCGTAGCAACATACAAACCTCCCACGTATGGTAAATACAAGTTTCCGTACTACATAACTATATTTGGCTTCCTACTTGGGCTGTCGACACTTGTACCTGTCATCGTTGGAGCGGTCAAAGCGATACGGAGTTCTCAAGGAAAAACATTCCTCAAGGTATATTTCTCTGTTTATGTTGAAAACCTCGACTCATAACGCTACAACAATAAAGGTCAATCGTAACCAGGGCCCGTATACATGAAACCGCTCTCATGAACAAGAAAGGAATCTGTGTTCAAACCAGTACTCTTGTTATTCGCTTAAATCATGCAAAAATCATCTTATTTATTTTATCTTATTTACAAGAAATTAGAGTTGAGCACGAAATCCGTGCTTGAGCATGAGAACGGTTTCATTAATATGGGCCCGGGTTCCTACGTTTGGAGTATATATGAGACATTCTATATAAAGCTTTCTGAAAACACAATTGAAATTGCACATCTTCTCATGATGTATACAATTATTTACATCTATTTTTCAGAGGGTTGTAAATGCAAGCAAACCATCAGAAAACTGGAAACCAGCCTCACGTAAACATGCCCGAGATTATACATACGATGAGCTTAGTAACTATAAAAGCTTCTACAGCAGAATGAAGCTAAATATTTTTGGACCAGGAAACACGGAAAAGTGGATTTGACACTGGAACTTTAGAACGCATCATACCAAGTAACCTCGGAGTCCTGAAACTTATCAGTCAGGATTTATCAAAGCTAGTCATGAAAGAATAGCCAGTTATTCATGCATATGTACAGTTTTTCGAGTGATACGGGGTTCCTGATATAATCAACCTGACTAGGTAATATGAGATATTTTTGTTTCTAAAAAAGAAATATATGACAAACTATATTTATTCAGATATTGCATATTTCTCTTGTATCGGTCGATATCTTTTTCAGAATCTGACGAAAATATTACGGAATTAAAATACTCGACGATAGGCATATTTCATATATTTCATTTCATAATGGTGAATTCAAATATACTGCATTTTGTTTATGTCATCCGAAATATCATTTTTAAGTTTTTCTTCTGGTATGAGCTTCGATCTAATATTTCTATAAGATCTCGCTGTCGATGTTTACGATGATGATCTGTGCATGTGAGAGTATGTAGGGATGTCCTGTTCATGTATATTTAAAACATACATTATTGAGGAGAGAAAAAAATAAAGCACAAACTTATATATGTTCATTTTTTCACAGATTAAACATCCAACAAATGGCAGCATGTATACTACCTATCAATGATAATCTATGGAGTAGAAAGTAGTGGACCACGTGATAGGGTAATTTTGTGAATTGTTTTATGCTAGCGAAGAACTATACCGACAAGATTTGGAACATTTTTTTAACGGGGTGATCTTATTTACAAATATAATATTTTCGCAAAAGTTAATAGCAAACTAGTCCAGTCCTAACTTAGCACTTTATGTGATTACTAACTATACGACCTAAGTTCTGCAAAAATAAATCTCACGAATTTGATCATTTATATCAGGTATCGCAAGGGGGGGTAAACATTATTTTCTTGCCATTCGGTGAATGTAGTTGTTAAATCGGTGAGCTATAAAATAACCTTGTAATCCCGTATTTGTATATGATATATCTTTTCTTGGAATTGTAACCACACCCGCATAAGAGCGGTAAAATATCCATAGATACACGAAATATATCCCGCTTACAATCAGAGGGGGTGATATGTGAAGATACCAGATGACATTTGGAAAGATTTTACAGTGAGAGAGGTACAGAGAGAGAATAACGAAGTGTCAACAAAACCATAATTCACAACTAGAAATCGGTTAACTAGAGCAAAGGATAAACAAAGGAAATAGTAAAATGGAGACACTTAAAAGTACAAGGAGAATTAGACAATGTGTTCCGGAAGGGTAAGCGTTTTCTGCTTCACCGACAACACCCGCCATGTAAATCTAGGTCAAAGCATCGACCTTCATATCACGCAAAGAGAAAAAGACATATCTTATCGTTTATGGGGACTAATGTAGTGCCCCTGTATGTATTGTTTATAAACAACCTTTTCCAATTCACCCTAAAGAGACATTATTTGCATACTCTTCTTTAAACCTCCTCTTTTGTTAAATTCAACTGCTACAAACAAAACAAAAACCCACAAGGTTCTTAAAATATTTGTAAATCCTCTTTGCATTATTATTTTCTAAGTATGAAACGTATGATACCAAACTAATCCATGAAAATAACCATCATGTTTACACGTAGCTTCCTTGTCCAGCACACATACCTACATACCTACATTACACACATGGCGGTGCGTCCTTTAATGAACTTAGCTGTTGATAGGACGTTTAACCATTTAAAACCAAACATTCAAATAGAAAACGCAGCATATTGTATCTTTTCTGGCGATAGCTATATCTAATACTTATTTAAAAATATTATTTCTGTTAACTCTCTCTTTGAACTACAACATTTTAGACCAAACATCTGAATACAAGCACAATTTATATGTTGCCAAACAATAAATCAATTATGCGTCGGGTTATGTAACAATGACAGTTGTTTTAAGAACATCTTATCGTTTTATCTCTTGTTGTACAACTTATCTTGGTATGCTAAGGAAACTTGTCATAAACAGTAAACCAAGGATTTAATGTAAAGGTCGATCAACAAACTATGAAAAACATTGCATCTTCTAAACACATGATCAACCAGAAATCGATCACGATGATATTTGCTAGTCCACAAAGTCTAAAACCTTCTTTTATAGGAAAATGAAAAACACCCGATACTGAAGTGTAAACAAACCGATAAATTGAACTCAAAATCAATGAAACTGGGGCAAAATATGAACTAAGTGAAGATTTTAACGGAGTTCCTAAAGAAGCATAAGGAAAATAAGGACAAGATGTTCTGGAAGGTTAAGCATATTCTGTGTCTATGGTTATTGATGATACCTGCAGTAGGCATATATTTGACAGACCGAGATGACGTTAGAATTGGCTGTAAAACATCAACTTTTCTGATTGACATATCAGTTTATTTGATTGACAGCTGATGATTTGACATTTACAGATATCATTCACTAATCGTTTTGTCGATATTACGTGGCTTTTTAAGAAGTTATGTAATACATGTATTGTCTTAAATGATTTAATCCAGTAGTATTCACACTTGAGTGGTTCCTGTTCATATTTTACTATTGATTATTCATGTTTAGATGGATGTTGCACGCATAAAAGAACCTTTTTCATTGCTTTAATCCCATGATCATACACCATATGGATCAGTAAATATTGATGGTCCCAGATGTGATACCATCTTTCTTTTCCTGTAACCGTCTACATGTTATAATATTCCGTATAAGTGTTTTGTATCCTAATTCCTAAAAGACACACTGGAGCAATTAAGTTAAATATAGATCTGAAAGAGAATTCATTCTAGTGAATTATTTCTAAGAAGACATTTTTCTTTGTCCATTTATATAAATAAACATTTCTTTGTTCAACGGTTGTGCTTTTTTATTTGATAACGAGTATGAAAAAAAAAATGTCAAAATTTTAAACGACGGTCGAAAGGCCTGAATTTATTGTTTGCCCAACATTTTGGAATACAATGAAAAATTTGAAATTTGCAGTAAAAAACTCTGAACCAATTGTCCTTTAATGAACTTAGCACCTTCCATGGCTAAAGGTCAACCAATATTGTGAATTAAATGGTCCCCAGCCCCCAGGGGCCTGAGGGGCGGGGCCAAAAAGGGTAAAATTGACTAAAATTTCAAAAATCTTCTTCTCAAGATCCAGATATGGTAGAATCAAATACTCTTCATAGATGGAAGGGTCTTAAGATGTTTTACCAAAATTGGGAATTTCATGACCCTGGGGTCTCAATTTTTCCCCTGGGGAGGGGGTAAACTTAACTTTAGTTTGTATAGGGAAATCACATTTTGGACCAACATTTGTTTAATTTTCATTGGAAGTAATGCAATTTGGGTTAGCATTATCAGTATTGGAAAGCAGTTTGATGGCATGCACATAACAGCCCTGACTGGCTCCCAGGGGCTGATAGGTGGGGCCAAAAAGGGTCGAATTGGCTGAAAGTTCAAAAATCTTCCTCTCAAGATCCAGATAGGGTAGAATCAAATACTCTTCATATATGGAAGGGTTTTAAGGTACTCTACAAAAATTGTGAATTTTATGACCCTAGGGTCTCACGTGTACCCCTGGGGAAGGGGGTGGCAAAATGTATTATTGNTGAATTTTATGACCCTAGGGTCTCACGTGTACCCCTGGGGAAGGGGTGGCAAAATGTATTATTTTTTATATTTGCAAATGATACTTTGGATATCACATGTTCATAACTTGATTGGAATTATAACTCTGAGTGGACAGTTTGATATTGTGAGTCGGCCCTACCCGTAAGGACTGTAGGGTGGGGCGGGGCCCAAAGGAGTCAGTGTGCTAAAATTTCTTCATTTTACTTGTTTAAAATCAGAGGTGCTAGTTTCAAATACTTTTCAGTCTTAAATCTGTATGCTAGATATTGAAAAAGGTGGTTTTGACTTTGAATAATATTTCTGTTCCTGTTTTAAAAACAAAAATCAACTCTTTCCATAAATATATCAGAACTCAGGTGATCGCTAAGGCCCTTGGGCCTCTTGTTGTACATGTTATATGCATATCGATACAGAAATATTTTGAAATTTCATGTCCCTCAAAAAAGATTAATTCTGTTACAGCAACAGCGTCCCAAACCCCATCGACTGCCTCAATCCATCCCTGTACCAGATCCGCACTATCGCACGGAGGCAAATACACCAACATCATGCCTCTAACACAGACACGCATGCATAACACACATGAAAGACACGTCCTGAAAGGACCTTAGCTGTTAAACCAAATCAAACATTCATATATTCTAATTCATGGGGGCAACCAATACATTCATTTAGCTAGGGCTGCGCAGAACAATTGATATCAAAACATATAATGAAATTTAACAACCCTCAAAAAGTGATTGAATATGCTACAGCAACATCTAAAGCGAACGGTATCGTTTTCCTGAATGTAACTGTGTACTGTAATGCAGTTTGTTTTACGAGAACAGTTGCTAATAATACCAAAGCACGAAACGTAGTTTGCCAACCCTCAAAACAATACTGTATATGTTAGAGCAATATAAATGGGATAAATGAGGGAAACCGGAGTACCTGGAGAAAACCCACATGTGTTTGTGGAGGGATCTTCTAAAATAGATTTTGATATAGGAACACTTTAAAATGATTCTGCCGACTTCTTGAATACATTTCACAGTTCTATGTTGTTTCAAGAGGATTTTTTATTTGCCTTCATCAAGAGTGAGCAGAAATTTAAAAAAACAAAAAGTCTTTACAGTTATTTTAAGACCAAGCTTCAATGTCCAACACAAGTTATCCCCGACATTTTCCACCTTTTCCACCGGAGTTATATACACTGTAACTGTAAATACACACAAATCCCTCCAGGCATTCAGTCGATACAATTTTTAACATAACAAGTTTGTCGAAAAGTGGTAAAACATCCCACTGGTCACAACAATACGTGTTTCCTTTTGACTTACATAACATAACGGATAACATTAACCAGCGCAGGTTCGTAAACATAAAAAAAATGTAAAATATCACAGCACATTGACTAGAAAGCCCTGCAAGCTGCTGATACTCTCGTATTTCATGTTTTGCTTTCTTATTTAACTGTGCCATGCTTTTCAGCTTAAAACATGAGAAACGGGGAAAAAAATCACGGAAGTTCGTTAATAAACAAAAAAAAGGAGAGATGGTAAGTGTTGACTAAGATATCAAAACACAATTGTTTTTTCTTTTGATCATTATTATTATAATCATATAAGAGCTGTGGGGTTTTCACCACAATGGTCGAATTAAAACTGACTTCACCATCATTTAGAGATAGCTTTCTGTTGTATTTTGTATATACACAAAACTCGAGTGTTAAATGTTAAGTGAGATGGACATGTAGTAATATTTAAACTCCGAGGTTAGCCAATCAGAGGCCGTACTAGTCATCTTAGATATAGAACCATCTTATAACAAAAAATCGCAACACTTAATCATAATTAAAGCAACAATTAAGTATTTTATAAAACGATGTAGATAACGAATAAAATTGTCGTGATGGAATATCGCAGATATGCCTCTGTCAAGACAGTGCTCACTTAAGGACTTCCCACCCTTCGTAATACAAATTTTATTTTGTCGTATATTCGTGTCGTCATTTTCGTATTGGGTATCGGGCATTCTATTACCATAGTGTAAATTATAATAACACCGGGTAAACAATAGTACACGTGCGTGACGATGATATGTCAACACCCGATATCGAGACTTAACTTGGAAATGTGTAATCACACGTACTTCAGAAATAAAGCTCATGATACAAAGACATTAATTAACTCACGGGAAAACACTGACATACGATCAGATGACTTCAAGAAGGTCGTATATGAGGCGCATGGAATGCAGACTGATGTGTTTTGTTTACCGACCTCACCTGTACGTATCACGTGCTAACAGTAGTTCACAAGCTCTTTGTCGCTACGACTTTTGTTGTCGAGCGAGTTACGCTCTGTCAGATAAATCGGTTCACAAATGCAATTACAATAACTCTGTGAAAATAATGGTTTGTAAAATATCAACATCCCTATAAAATGCAAGTGCATGTGCGTGCACGTAATAACGGCATACCATGCCATAGCCTATGTGTATACCATGCGTAAGCGGGCTATGGAATGATGTCCAAATTGTAAATGATTAAGAGTAATTTTGTTCCATAAAAGAGCAGTAAATTGACAATTAAATATAGTAATTTAATTTATTTCCGTCGTTTTTGGTATAGTAAAGAAAATAAGTGTCAATGTATAAATTCTATCCCTCTTCAAAAAGTTCTAATTTTTTCCAAGGTAGACAACTCTCATCAGGATCAAAATTATTGTAAAATGTAAAGTAAATGAATTTATAAAGACTTTGTGTGTATTTGGTTCAATTTTCACTCTTTTTGTATGAAACTATCTGTCCTGTTTGCTTTTAGCATGTATTTAGTAACTTTTATCCATACAATTTCAATAAAAAATGCTTTTTGTAACATGTTTTAGATATTTTATGATAAATAAAATATTTGTAGGGTTGATTAGTAATGTTTCTTTTCATTATTTTATTGCTGTTATAGTTTTGAACAATGCCACACACTCAAAAAATGTGAAAGTGTTGAATTTGACAAAAAAAAACATTTTTTCGGGGTTTTTTACAAAAAAAATCCCCAGTTTATCGGAATGATTAGATTTCATAAAATCATCTCTACATAGTGACATCACCATTATGTGAAACTTTCATTGAATTGTGCTGGCTAATTGCGAAAGGGTGGAGCCTCCTTAAGTGATTGCGGTCTCCTCCAAGTAACGTTTTTGAAATATGATGAACATAGATACATAATTTTGTTATAATAAGATTTATTTATATAATATCACAATCACGGGGCTCTGAATGCTACGAAAATGATGTTTCAATATGTTGCCTAGAAGTAATCTTATGAATAATAATTTCTGAAAACGAAATGGGAAAAGCACGGATAATAAAATCAATTTTTATTGTGATTGTGAATGAAGTGTAAACAGACATTGTGGTATAAAAACTATATTTACTGTACAATATCAACGGTTGTTAAAATACACTTACCAGAAAATCAATAGTTAGATGAATGTGTTCAGTATTCAGGCCCTGAAAAGAGAATATATTCTTATCGGTCTTTGTCATCTGTCGTTACATCTTGTATCCCCATGTCAGCAAACCTTAGTATTACTCAACCGTTTTTTCTGTGTTTCTTGTTTTAATACGATGGAAGCTAATTTGAGGACATCTGTGTGTTAATAAAAAACGGTATGGACCAGAAATGCTAAAAGCAGGTGCTGAACAGCAAAAATACACCGTAAAAAGTAATTTCTGCCTTTGATTGGATATCATAATATTCACTTTCACTTAACATCGGATTTTCTGTTTACATTTTGTTCAGTAATCACATGCTTTGGTGAAATATATAAACATAAATACTCGAGTCGAAATTAAGATAATGTGTGAACGAACCTTTTATCTGTTGGAGTACTGTAATTTCACCTTTCGTGACTTTTCAGCTCACCCAAAAAAGTATGACATTAGGTGTTATAGGCAAGTTCCCCGAGGGGTAACTATGCAACGAAAATGTGCCGAGGCTAAATTCAGATGGGCAGTAGGAATAACATAGCACCGAAAATGTGCCAAGGCTAAATTAAGAATATTTTGATTTTTTTTTTTCTTGCATTGCTTTCAATCACAGGAAAGCTCTATCCTACATGGCCAGCTATTTAAGAAAACATTATTATGATACAAGTATGGGAAAATTACATTTGCTCAAAATCATTACGTAAAATGTCTG